GACATTCAGCTGGCCGGTTCCGACAGAAGGAAGTCGGCGATGGGGTGCGAGGGCGGCGGGGTGGGGGCGCGGCGGCTGCTCGAAAGGGTGGCTGGGGTTGAGGGGAGGAGGGCCTCTATGGCACTGGCGCAGGGGCCGGGTGCCATGCAAGAAGCCGGCGACAGAGAGCCGATCGGAGGAGGAGGACCGAGGGGGGAAGGAGCGCAAGAGGGGCAAGGTCAGGCAGGGGAGGCGAAGACAAGGGCGGAGCCAGTCGCAGGGCGTCAGGCGCAGGAAGGGAAGAGGACGGGCAAAAGGGCATACGTTCAGAGCGCAGGAGGAAGAGGCGAGAGAGGGAGAGAGAGAGATAGAGGGAGAGAGAGAGGGGGGGAGGGGGGGGGGAGTGGTGTGACGGCGGCGGCGGGGGTGGCCGCTCGCCGAGGCACTGTGCTACCCGAAAGGAGCCAGTACGGACCGATCCTCCGCCCTTGGGTGCGTGTATATGCACCTCCCCTGTTGCGACCACCTACCAAGCGCCGCGCCCTGTGGCCCACCCACCGAGACCTGTCAATTTACCGGACCAGTGAGCGGGGCGCCGACGAAGACTCGCCCTCGGACAGACACATCGCGACGCGCGCAAAGGCCTCCCAGCCCCCTCCCCCAAGCCGGCGCATTCCCCCCACCCACCCAGCCCCCACCAAGTACCCGGGCCTTCCACCGTCAGCCGTGTCTAGTCTCTGTGGCCTGCGCCGAATGCAGGGGAAGAAAAAAGAAGCCCCAGCCACCGAGGGGAGGAACTTAAAGGGGGCGGGGGGGGGGGGAAATAAAAACAGCCCGCTCATAACACGACTAAGCCTGGGGTGCATCTAGCGCCCGCCATACATATACATGCATGTGTGTGTGTGTCTCTGCCCCCGGAGGAAATGCCCACCTACTGTGTCAACTGTCGGTGTTACTGGCGGTGCGACCGTCGCCCCCCCCCCCCCAGCCTCCGTCTGCCCCGCCACGACACACGGCGGATCCCCCTGCTGAGCGAGGACGAGAGAGAGAGAGAGAGAGAGGGAGAGCGCCAGACCAACAACACCCACAAACCGCCAAAACACCACCCCCCCCGCCAACGACACGGGAACCGCCCGCGCCCACACAACCCCCGCCCGGGCCCCCCCCCCAGCCTCTGACGGGCCCGCCACGACACACGGCGGATCCCCCTGCTGAGCGAGGACGAGAGAGAGAGAGAGAGAGAGGGAGAGAGCAAGCCGCACAAGCCACCCCCCTCCCCCCCCCCCCCCCCCGCTTCTTGTCCCGGCTCCAGTTGCTTCTCAGACACATGCAGAAAAGGGGGAAAAAACGCATCCAACCAGGCGCGCGTAGGCCATTTTGGACGGGGATTAATTAGTGCGACATCACGTGATGCCATCTATTGTGGTTATCGGAGTTCCCGACCGGCCGCAGCACAGCCGCCCGTGGCGGAAGGTCAGGAGTGGGAGGGGG